ATTCTCGAACAACGAGAGTGAAAGAAAGAAGTGGGTTAATGTTAGTTACAGCCCTGATTTAAATGAAAGTAAACTGAGGAAGCTGTGAGGCATTGGAGAGCAGGAGAGCGCTATCTGTCCAAGCTAACTGTTTTTTAGCTGCTGGCTAATTGAAGCAGCGCTCCGGCACAACACGGAGAATTGATGATACGGTAGATCAAACAAGACACAAAATCACCGCTTTCAGTTTAAACATACCTAAAAGGAGGACTCTGTTTGACTGGTGCGAGAGATTCACACTGCAGATAACGCTTTTACACAGCGAACATCAGATATTTTGTGATTCACCCCTTTAACTACTGCGATAGCATAGAGAAATCCAGTCGTCGCTAGCTGGTGTCTGAATACTGTGATATGCTCTGACATGGATGTGGCAGGAGTGGCAGGAGTGACAGCAGTGACCTACCGAACCAAGTTGAGGTTGTTGAGAAACTAAAGAGTTTAGCACTGTTGTTGGCCAATTGTTTAGTATTTGTAACTGGATAGCCGAGCGCTCGTCACCACACAGGTAAAAATAATCTGTTTTCTTTCTTAAATAATGACTATTACAAAAATTGCAGCTGTGCTTTTCCAGCTGATAAAAAGAGCTCAGAAACTTTCTCCCACTGTCCCAAGACAAATTTGTGAAATGTTCCACTGTTTGCCGAGTGTTTGTCATGATCCGACCATAAGTGATAGTTTAAAACCGCAATTAACCACCCAGGAGCAAAATCAGCCTTCAAACGTGAAAGAAATAATGATGACATTTATCGCGATATGTATCGATATCGAACGATATGAGTTTTGTTTATCGTGATAACGTTTTTGGCCATTTCGCCCAGCTCTAATTTGAGCTCACCTGGATAGGTCACGTTTACAGCATAGATGAGGCCAAACAACATGGCACATGCATGTGCGACTGACGGCAACTCATTAAGGACTTCCACACCTTCAATTACAATCCCAATTTCATGTGGTGGTTGGAGAGGATTCTCATCCTCCCTGATGACAAACACTGCCATTGTACACCTCTCAAGCTCTGTTTCAGCTTCATTCTTCTGAGAAACCTGATAAAAGAGAAGACATTTACTACAAAGTTATTTTGATGGAGCAGCGGTCTAAGCATTGACCCCATCATCAGGAGATTACGGGTTCAATCCCTGGTGATGCTTCAGCCATCCATGGCTGAAGAGAGAGAGCACAATTGGCCTATCTCAGGGAAGGTGGGGTGGGCCCCCATCTCTCCTCATCACACAAGCACGATGCTAGCATCCAGAGCCGGCCCTATGCATATGTGCCCAGGCGACCAAACTGAGGGGGATTTTAAGTATTTTCTAAATATTACAAAAATCCCACATCATCATAACTTGCAACAATATAAGTCCAAATATTTTGTGTGATGCGTGCACTGTGCGGCATCCCCCCTGTACATTATCCCCCCCTTCACGATCTAGTTAGACTTACCTGTCTGTGGGGGAGGGGTGCCATGAGTGAATGCGTGCGTGCAGAATGTGATTAACACTAACCACAAAGATTAACTGCAACCCAGCAGCCACCAGACAATATGATAAAGAGGATGAAAAATGGCAAAAAGACAGAGGTAATGTGATGTGATGAATGCATACAACAGTTGCTTATTCCAGTTTTCCGTTCCACCTTAAACAGAGCACAAGTTCTACCAAAGGGCATCCGAATAAAACTTCTGCGCTACTTAAGGTAGAACAGAAAATTAAACTAAGCACTAAATACACCAAAAACACAAATAAAAGCTAACAAACTAATAAGCACTGATATTTATACATAACCATTTCATTTGGTTTTGTTTAAGCACCGTTGTGAATAGAGGTTGTTGGCTTGGGTTCCACCTTAAACTTTATTACTGATTAGAATGTGTTTTTCACACTCAGAGAGTGTAAACTCCTGTACCTTCCACAACACCAGCTAAAGGAAGTTTTCTTTCAACTCATAAGAAAATAAACTAACAATTCCACCTTAAATGGCGTTCAAGATATGGCTAAATCTTACATGTCTCCCTGTTCCCAATTTAGTGTATGTTGTAAAGTGATGATTTAATAGATTCTTTTTATTATTTTTATTTTCTTATTTAAGTTTGCAAATAGTCATTTTACACTGTTTATTTTATTGCAGTTATTTAAAAGAAACTGTGTTTTGGAGTTATTTGATTTGATGTTTCTATGTGCTGCCTAAATCAGGCTGTGATTTTGCGCTTCTATTTCAATTAAATGAGATCCAATGAAGTAACGTGCCACTTGAGTAGTCTTTTTACTAGATACTTTCTTACTTTTACTTAAGTAATAATTTAAATGACTACTTCTACGTGAGTTTATACTTGGTTAATTATTATTTTAAAGTAACAGTACTTCTACCTGAGTACAGTTTTTGGCTACTCTACCCATCTCTGATCTGCTGCATAGTAATACTTACAGTGAAACATTCGGAGCAAAGTTGTCAGCTAGATAATGTTCGCTAATTTAATAAATAGCTAGCAAGAGTTAGTGTCAGTTACTCCCACGCTGAATTCATTATGAAAAGTTGGAAAGACTATTCAGGTGTTTGGGAAATAACCTACATAAAAGTGTATTTGCATTTAATTTATTGACATAGTTATGTTTGTTGTCAGTTTTTTCTACAGCAGGAAAGCAACACCTTTTAAGGCGAGTAGATAGTAATTTTTTCAGAGCATTTATACTTGTAACTCCTACTAGAGGTATCATTATTTGTCTCCATAAACCTTTTGAACGTACAATTCTGAAAACTGATTGAAAAACACTGATTTCCTTATTTGGGATGATAACTGCAAACATTATCGTTTAAGTTGAATATTTGATATTTTTATAGATATTTGAAACTGCACTGGCTACTTACCATTTTACTTATTTATTGCAAATTAACTTATATTAATTTGGGAAAACGTATTGATTTGTTTTCATTTTAATTTGAGGTTGTGTCAATTCTTGAAATGTGAAAAATTTCAAAATGTAAAAAATATGAAGTGAACCCAACATTTAATTTTCACATTCACACGTAATATCCACTACATTCCAAATAGGGATGCACGATTGGAACTGCCCATTTTTTGCTCCAAACACACAATCAGTAAAAACAGCCAATTTATTATTCTGATCTTGGCAGATTTTTTTAGCAGTTTAATGATGTGAATAATATGAAACCAGAAAGTGAAGGTGTGCTGCATTTGAATGCTGCTTCTACACCTAAAACCATGTTATTTAAATAGGCAACTAAGGTTTCTTTTATACCTTAAAATGGCAGTTTGGTTAAAGAGCAAATAATGTCAGTTGTGTTACAACTTTGGCTAATACAAAGTACTGAAAATGAGCTAGTGAGTTTTATGTCTTCACTTTGTGCATAAATGAGAGTTCAAAGTTTGTCATTCCTATTTAAACATACATGCAAATGTTCACAGCTGTTCATTTTGGAACTTACCAAATTCAGCAATACGGCTACAATTGTGACATTTTCAGCAAAGAAGCGTGAGCCTGTAAACACAGATAAAGGAGAGATTTCACATATAGTTTTGTTGTTGTTAGAACAGTTAGCAAAATCCATTATTGTCACTACAGACTCTAATTTATTAACTAGGCCTTAGACACACTGATGGTATTGCACAAATTATACTGACAGAAGTAATACTGTAAAATAAATTCTTCCTTAATCAGTACTGTCTACTACTTCATCCACTCATTATTTTTATTATGCATAAGAATAATATTATTCATGAGTGAGTTCATAATACTTATTCGCAAAATACGAAAACAGTCTATAAACTAATGGTTAGTTGTCCATCCTGCCACTAAACATAAATGAAAACGCGTTCTCCTAGAACAAAAGATACAATGCATCACTTATGTGAAGCACCGAAGCTCAATTCTCAATTGTAAAACCAGCGAAAGTTAAACCAGCGAAAGTCGAGTTTCGACTGTTATATTATAAGGAAAGTAGGCACAGTAATCTTGGGAAGCCTACAAATTCGTAGCTAGCTAACGTTACGTTACGTTTTTTGAAATAACCTGGTTTAGCTAGCGTCAGCTAGCTAGCAAGCTAACTCGCAAGCAAAACGCAAAGAGAGTCTGCAAAGTACCAATTAGCCGTATATCCTGCTACTAACCATAATTTTACATGTACAGCACATATTCTCCTAAAAAAAAACAGACATTCGAATCCTTACCTTGAAGAGTCGCCGTCTACAACAGAAAAGCTGCACTTTCTGAACGAAGTAATGGCGGACAGCAAAACTCGACCTGGAGTGATCTGATATGACGTCATGAGGTCACGTGACATCAAAACGTCTGGCTTAAAGTGAAAATATTATTTCAATAAAATTATTTCTAAGTTTTTTGGGGGGGAATGTTATTTGCTTTTGGGCAAACTGAACAAAACAGGTTTGAACCGGAAATCATTTTTTTCAATTACACCAATACAAAAATACACTTTAAATAAATGACATGGTTGTTTCACTTTTTCAGTGTACATACAACTGAAAAAATATAACAAATATAACTAAAGTAATTTGAAACATATATTTAACAAATACACTTTTGGCAATTTGCATACATTGCAAAATATAATAGATAAATATATTTGGAATATATATGTGGGTGGAATTCCCCTTTAAGTCAGAAACAAGTGGAGGTCCAATGTGGGGATATTTGAGGTTTGGAACAAAGCTATCTCTAACAAAGCTACTTACTACAATACAGAAAACGTTTATTATTTATCATTCTTTCTATGCAACACGACTTTTTACCTAGTTTTTATACAGTTGTTATTGATCACTGTTGAGACACATCAAGCAGGCTCTCTACCATCAGAACAAAGAATAAATGTCAGTCAGTTTTAGGGATGTCAGCTGTGAACAGACAGTAGACTGTTCTTTATTTCTGCCCTAATACCAGTTTTACTGTTTAACAGTTGGGTTGGACTTGCAGTAGTCGAAATTGTCGTCGCTGCAGAACCAAAAGTCCAGGGGGTACGGCTGGATCTGATCCAACTCCTCCTACGTCGTGTTTTAATTGGTCTGAACTAAATCAGACTCCACACTGCCTCGCTATACTTGCCCGTCAGATTCAAGTAAAACATAATTAAGTGCGAATGTGAAAGTAAGTACATAACACACATTTTCTCTATCTTATGAAATTCCAGGATTTAGTTGATAAAACACAGTTATGTGGGTTATTTTGACCGGTCATAAGTGCATTCTAGTGTTTAAAAACGTTCAGTGTTTTCAACTAGAATTCGTCTATCATCAGTACAGTTGAGATGTAGGCCTACAGAACGGACTTTGTACTGGAATGTGAAAAAAGCTTTTCGAGTTTTGATAAATGAGTGTGAACGTCGTGAACCATGAGCGGTTATAAAGGCTGTGTTGTGGCATTCAGGACGGAGCAAAAAAACAGAAACACCAGCAACACCTGCGGGTTTCCCACAGAGAAAAATGCGACAGGGTAGACCAATGAAATAAATAGTAGGCGGAAAACGTAAGAAACACATACTAATTTAAAGACCAGTAGAAATGTGACGATTTTAGATCAATGAAAAGAAGACGTGGGCGGAGTTGGATCAGGTCCGGCTCCACCCCTTTTGGACTAGTGGTTCTGCAGCGAGTGATAGTTGGGGGCAGTAGTCAGCTCCCAGTGTGCTTTTTATCATAAACACTAGAGGGCAGTGTAGTGCGGTTTTGTAATGTGTAGTTTTCTCCTAAACTGATCTCATTCCCAGAGTTGTGTAAGCAAATGCAGGGGATGACTAAGAAACTGCTGGAGCATTAACGTTTTATCATTTAGTCCCTGCATGCTTGGTTTTTAACGACTAAGAATGGCCAGGTTTAGGATAAGAATATCTACGCCTGATGAGTAATGGAGACAGACTGGCTGGTGTTAGAAGGCTATACCAGGCCTACATGACTAATATGTGAGAAGCAGACATCAGATAAGAAATACTTTGAAATCAAGTGATGAGTAAAATATGAAAAAAAAATATAATGTAAGGCCACATGTAACTACATGAAAATTGGCCTGTTAAATGTTTAGAACAACTTCCCATATGCAAAAGTATCTGGACACCTCTCCTAATTATTGAGATCAGGTGTTTCAGCCACACCCACTGCTAACAGATGTATAAAATCAAGCAAATAAATTATAATGTGCAGCGTTGACGCCATATACCGACTAAACGGGTCGTACGCTTGCTTGCTTGCTTGCTTCCTTCCTTCCTTCCTTCTGCTGCTGCTGTTACTGTTACTCTTAGCTTTTTAAATTTTATTTGTAATCTTTCAAGCTACCTTCTTTTGCTGAATATTTAATAATTGCCCTAATTCCTTAATAACTACCCTTCTAATAACAGTTTGCAGTTAGTGTTTCGGTCTAACTGACTTGTCTTTTCCCTGAGGACGCTGAGAATGGCGGTCGCCGCGGAATGTGAGCTGTGAGCTCCAAACGCTGAACAGAGAGCTGCAGCAGCTGGTTCGGCAGAGCAGGGTTCTTCTGGAGCGGCAGGCCGAGCTCCACCAGCGGAAAACACGTCTGGAATCACCCCGGGAAGTTGTGTAACTTACTGCAATTTTGGGGTCCGGTGTTGTACCGAATTCCGACTACCCGGCAGACGACTCCCCCTCGTGTGCATGCGCTTCACATAAACATGTGGACGTTACGGACTGCACTCAGGGTTTCTTAGGTTATTTCTGTGTGTAAATAACGCTTTATCTTTAATTTTCCTTCACAGCAAACAACACAGCAGGATCTAAAGCCAAACAAAGACTCTAACCTGATGGTTTAGTTTAATATGAAATAAAAACGATTGTTGTTGTTGCAGTACTTGAGAACTGGTGGGACTGAATGTCTTTCAGTCATAACGATAAGTATTACGACACATTAAACACAGCTTTAAACCTCTGTCTGGATCAATAAAGTTCACATCTAATGACCTGACGTTGCAGTATTAGCTGACTTTTTTTTCTCGTCATTATTCAGCAACGAGACTTTCATTGCTTTCATAGCTAGGACAAATTAACGAATTAGTATACATTACTGCATAAAATAGTTGCCTATAATTAAAATTTGTAGTAATAACAATTGTAATGGTAGTAATTTAAGATTAATTTTGGTTGAAAAGTCAGCAGCTTTTACATAGTCAGAAGGTGTGTTGTGAACCTGTCAAAATTATGCCCCTCTTATTTCTGGGGATGCGTTATAACTGGAATGATTAACTTGCTGACTTCTGGTTCATAGATTACAGCATATAAAGCATATGTCTCTAAATTCAACTCGGGGGCCAAAATTATACTCCCCCTCTGATCTCAGCACTGAAAGGTCTGAATGACCTCTCCTTTATTTTGCTAGCATGTCCTGGGCTGTAGATTATGTCCTGAAATGCATTTTACTCTAGATTCAACAGGGGGGGATTTTATTGGGGGGGAGTAGAATTTTGGCAGTATTATTTTGACACCTGCCAAAATTATACTGCCCCTCTGATCTCAGCACTGCAAGGTCTGAATGACATCTCCTTCATTTTACTAGCATGTCTTGGCTGTAGATTGTGTCCTGAAATGCAATATAAATATACTCAGATAACCCTGAAAAATATAATTTAGTAATGTTGTAGCCTAATATATATTTGTAAGTTTATTTTGCATACTCATTCAGTGTTTTCATATTGTATTTATGTTTAGCTTCACACAGCGCTTTGAAACTTGAAAGACATCACTTGTAACATTTAAAGAAGACATTGAATACTGATCAATTAGTCAATCTGTCTGTATGTCTATATCGAAATTATAGCATCTCTTTTACATACCATCATCTTACATGTGTTTGTGTGTGTATATATATGTATGTGTGTGTGTGTGTGTGTGTGTGTGAGTGTGTGTGTGTGTGTGTTTCTTGGGGGTATGAAGGACAGAGAAACAGACAATACCTCAGGAGAAAACCTTTTATTATTTATACTATATATGTTTGTATGTAAAACACCCAGACAAATAAAAAATCTACACAACTGCTTAATGCAAATAAAACATAACATCTCCCGCTACAAATATCCAAAAGAACATAAAATAAAAATGTAAATTATATTTTGATAAATTTTTAAATTAGCTACTTAAATATGCTCAATATTTACACTATGTTTACAGTATTTACAGTGTATTTTACAGCTGTCACTGCATTTTTTCCACTTCTACTAGTTCTACTTGTAGTTTAATTTCTACTACAAGCATCACAGATGTAGTCCTTGCCCTCTGGAGTCTTTTTAACACAGCTGTAATGAAACCACCGTGGACAATGCTCACAGCCAATCTAAATGTTTGAATACAGACATATTCATCAGCATTGTTGGTTATTAATCTAACTAACATATAATAATCTGTCAGATCTGAATTTGACTGTAAATGAAACAATACAATTTTATGATAAAGTAATTACCCAGTTCATGTCTTCTTGGATATTTTGCCCAAGAAGACATTTGCGTTCAAATGTATGATTTATGACCCTGATTTATGACCCTTCTGATTTATGACCCTCTGATTTATGACCCCTCTGATTTATGGTTCTGTGATGGACAGATTGGTAGGATTGACAAGGGGCCCTCTCTCCACTTTACCCCACCCCACACCTCCCCCTCACCTCCCTCATCACCCCCACCCCACCCCTCACCACTCCTCTCCCCAAAGTTTTATGACTGGTCTTGAGACAAGCAAAAGGTGATGGTATTTGGGTTTTTTTTTCCCAACCCCACTGCTGAGTTGGGTGAATGAAAGGTGTGAGTTTTGTGAATCAACATGTCTGAATGTATTTTCCTAAACTCGTTGATGTAAAAAATATATCCAGAACCAGCAGACAGTGTGTCTCCAAAGAACCATCAGAAGGTGTGCCCCCCAGAGGACCACCAGACAGTGTGTCTCCAAAGATTTTACTGCTTTGTGAGTTTTAAGAAGTGTTTAATACACTTTTAGGACTAATTTCAACTTTAAACTTTAAAACTTGTAAGACCATATAGAAGTTTTAAAAAGTGTTTATTACAAATAAACGTCTAATTTCAACTTTAAAAAACTGGTAAGATGACTTTGTGTGTGTGATAGAGGTTTTAAAAAGTGTTTAATACACTTTTAGACCTAATTGCAACTTTAAACTTTAAACCTTGTACGACCATATAGATGTTTTTTAAAAAGTTTTCAATACACTTTTAGGCCTAATTTCAACTTTAAAAACTGGTAAGACGGCATTGTGTGTGTGTATGTGTGTGTGTCGGGTGGGTGGGTCGGCTTGGGAGG